ATTTACATGCCTTGTACGACTGGAACAAAAGTGGCTGTAGTTCCGGAAGGAAAGCAGCTGGTACCAGGAAGGAAAGATAAAGAGCTTCTGTGACTCACAGAAGCACAGGTGATCGCAGACGGGCTGGGCCACGCAGGAGGAGTGCGTGAGTATGCACGGGGCAGGGAGGTGAGTGGAGAGGAAATGAGCAGATTGAGGGACTGCGAGTGGGGCCACGCAGACAGGGAGGTGTCTCTTTTGACCTAGAAGGGATGGTGCCCTGGCAGAGCACTGGCAGGAAGGCAGTGATGATGAGGGATGAGGAAGGAGGTGTTGGATGGCTGGTCACGGCCCAGCCATCACACTCAGCGGAGCCCTCCCCATGCCCCTGCTCCCCTATCAGGGCCCCTCCTCAGAGCAAGTGTCCACATCCATCAGCACACAGCTCACCATTCTGTAACTGGGGGGTTCGCCACCCCCTTCTCCACCAGACTAGGCTGCCCAGCCCTGGCCCAGGGGTGCTGAGCAGCTGCTGACCGAAGGAGGCGAAGTGATGGACTCCAGAAGGCTGGCCTGTGGGCCCTGAGGCCAGATCAGAAGGCACTCACGGTGCAGCAAGAGGAAGTGGGAGGGGACATGGGTTCTCTGCCACCAGAAGATAAAGGAGAAGTGAGCTGACCTCACTTGCTGACCATGTCTCTGTGGATCTGGAGAGGCAGGCCCGGGGACTGGTTTGAACCGAAGGGGCAAGTCCGAAGTAGAAGGCTAGACTGAGAGCCAGGAGGTCTGCCTTTTCATCCTAACTTTGCCACTAATGGATTAGGTGACCTTGGAGAAGTCATTTATCCTACCTTGTGCTTGTAAAGTTAGGGAGTCAGGACAGACATTTGGTCCCCAAACTCACACACACACACACACACACACACACACCTCTGAACCAGAGGCTCTGGGGCAGGGCCTGGGAGTTTGCATTGCTTAGAATCCTTGGGTGCTTCTGATGCTCGCTGGGACTAGATAAATCTGGGGGCACTTCTAACACTAGAGGAATATGATTTTATGAAATGTACGCATAGATTTTTAAAAATCACTTTTTCTATACTGTTTCTTAGAGGAGTCACATGCTCTTCTCTTTTTAGAGACACGACAGAACTGACTACTACTTGAGTTTGGTCAGATGACCATCCATTCCTGTGGGGCAGAGTCTCCTGAGGCTGCTGAAAGGCTCAGCCACAAGGTGGCGGAAAGGGAGCCACAGCCCAGAATGGGGATGTGGTGTGACCCCCAAAACCAGCATACTTGGTGGGCTGGGCTGAGCCAACCTTCCTCCCAGGGCCACTCTTCATCCAGGTGGTGACACAGGGCTCTATGCTTTAGGCCACCCCACTGGTCCTGCCAGCGCCACCTCTCTCCGGTTCAGCCAGTTACTTCCCTCTGTCCTAACATAACAGCAGCTTCAGGCGGTGAGCACCTGGATTGGATTCCTGTGTGCCTGGCGCTGCACCAAGCACTTTGCAAGCCAGGTCACATGAACCCTCCCCAGCACCCTGTGATGTGCTCTTATTAGCTCCATTTTATAGAGCAGAAAACAGATTTGGAAACAGGTTTGATCATTTGCCCAAGATCACAGAGCAAGGAGCCAGAATCTAAAGAGGGATGCTGATCATGAAGCTCTCTTCTTAACCCATTCCACATCCTGTTCCCTGAGGCTCCTGGAACGGAGCCTCCCCTCGACTTTCCCTTAGAGAGCAGAGCGTGGGAAGGGTCCCCAGCTGGGGCATCTCCCGGCTTACCTTGGCCAGCCTTGCTCGCTTGATGAGGTCATTAAGTTTGCGCACTGCCGCCTTCTGGGGAAGGCTCTGGATGTCCCTGAACAGGTCCTGGGCCTCGGCCTCGAAGAGCCGGCGGTTGTCAGTGTTTTGCAGAGGCTGTGCCCAGAAGGAGCCGATGTAGACACGTAGCACCTCGGGCGTGTTGATGACCTTGCCCAGGGACCACATGAGGGCCCCGTAGACGCGCATGAGCTGCTGCGTGTCCACTTGGTCGGCCTTGTTCAGCACCACGCGGATCTTGTCATCCTGGCCCCGGAAGGCCTTGATGGCCTCCGAGAACTCGTCCGAGATATCCAGTTTGTGTGCGTCGAAGAGCAGAATGATCCTGTCTACCCGCTCAGCGAACCACTGCAGGACCTGGCAGAAGTCATACCCTGCAGGGAGGGAAGGGCACATCAGTGCAGCCAACTGCTGCGGGGAACACGCTTGCCAGGTGGGCTTGGAATCACCTGGGTCTCCAGCAGCTGCCAAGGAGAGAGCCCTGTCTCCAAGCTGGAGGGTCTCATGACCTGCAAATCATTTCAAATGGGCCCTGTGGGCTGGACGCATTGAGTTAATGCTGGGGATCCTGGGAGCCCTTCCTTGGGAAGAAACAGAGAATAGAAAGGGGCTCTTGGTCATTTTGATTGGGCATTGCTTACTTCCACATCTGTAATTTCATTTAGTCCCTATGAGTTTCTTGTTTTACCTTGGACAGTCCTTTAGATCAATGGCAAAAAAGATCAATAGCTCTGTGAAATGCAGGCCAGGGGTCCAAAGCTCTTAACTCCTGCCAAAGACTCATTTTGACAAAAGAACCAGAGATGGAGAAGGAAGAAAGCCTGCTTGGAGACTCATGGGGTGCCCAGGAAGCACCACCAAAGAGAAATCACCTTCTTTTTAATTTTTTAAGAATGTTAAGGAAGAGGGGCAGGTATAGCTCAGTGGTAAAGCACGTGCTTACCATGCATGAGGTCCTGGGTTCAATCGCCAGGACCCCAGTACCTCCATTAAAAGATAAACACACAAATAAATAAATAAATAAACAAATCTAATTACCCTCCCACCCAACCCCCCCCAATTAAAAAATTTAAAAAAGAGTGTTAAGGAGGTCAAAGGTTGGCCTGATCCAAACTGTGACCTATATTGTTTGGACCATTTATATCTTAAGTATCTTGTAAATATTTTAAAAATTGTGTCTCACAGCCATTCTGTGAAATGGTCTCTTGCCAATTTCTTTCTAAAAATGGCTAGGCCCATGACAATTCTGTTTAGTTTGCTTTGGCCA